CTGCTACCTTTCCCCTTCCTTTTGCCGTATAAAACTCCTGTCCCGGAAGCTGCTTGTAGTCGGCTTTGACGTAAGTTTCGTCGTCCATTACCACGCAGTCAAACTTCGTCAGCATCGTCGTGTACAGCCTCCGGGATCGCGCTTTGGCCGTCGTATTTTGTTTATCATCGCGATTTGGAGTCACTACCTTCTTGTAAGTCGATAGTCCGGCTCGTTTTTTGGCTCGATGCACGGTTGTAGACGATACACCCAGCTTATTTGCGGCATCTCGGAGAGAGAGGTTAGGGTTTCGCTTGAAACTACCGGCAACTCTCTTTGTCGTCTCAGCGGCTTCCGGTTTTCGATTTCCCCCTGATCCAGACTTCCTGGCTGTCGAAAAACGTTCCCCAAACACTTTAATTACATTTGTAACGGTTGATTTGGCAACTTTTAGCGATTTTGCCAACTTTGCGTGCGAGTAGCTCGGATTTTCGCGATGCGCGAGCAAAATTTTGATACGCTGCTCTTCTTGCTTGGACGGCATTTTGACAACTGAAGAGTGAATTCCAAAATCAAAATAGGAGCAACATTCTACACACACACACCTTCAAAATGAGGGGTGTTCAGGTTTTTTAAATGCAAAATTGAAAGAAATACGTCAAGTTGATATTGACCAAATTTTGACCGTATCATCCTTTACCTACGTCATAACACTATCCTTCTCGTTACTAACGAATGTCCAAATAAAAGGATGCCGATGTTTAAACATAGACAAACGTTTTCAGCTTGCATCAGCATCTACACATGAAAAATGGTTTTACCTAGAGGCTATTATAAAGAAAAAATACCTTACTTGCAATTTAAAAAATTTGTTCAGAATGGCTGACGTTAGTGTGTTTGTAAACATAACAGTTTGAAAAAAGTAAAATTGAGGCTACATCGTTATCAGAGTACAGCCAACAATCAATACGAAACTATCGATTTTAAATTGGCTCACTACTTGACCAGCCTATTGGTCCCAAGCAAATCGATTAACGTACCCCATTCTAGTCGAAATTCTAGTACTACACAATGTTTGTTTTGATTTGCCATGAAAGTTTGACAGATAAAATGAGGGGTTCGTGGATTTTCCTATGTTTCGAGGGGTGCATCGATTAGCTTGGGACCGAAGATAGTACCAGAGCTGAGCCAAAAAGTTGAGCTCATTTCTTCGGGACCTTCTGGTCTTAGAGTTACCTCTATGGTACAGCTGACTTGCCCCTAGATCCCCTGTGTGGAGATCTGTCAAAGGAAGTAGCTAAAGGTCCGTTCAGACTATCGATTTTACTTTCGACACACTTTGTCGAACCCCCAGTTTGCTGGTGTTCACACGGCTTGTACAAGTCGAAAGAATTGTCAATTTATATTTCAAAACAAAATTGTATCCGGTCTCAAAAGTAAATGCTTCCATAATGAATTTCCGGAAAATTGCTCTAGCTTTGGCAGGCGCACAATAAAATGAGAAGGAGAAGGTGAATTTTGTGGAGTAGGAAATGGTTGCTCAGCAGGAACACCAGCAGGGATCTGGATCATCGTGTCTTTCAAGAACAGCGATCGAAAAAGGCTTTCAAAACTTCGCCAGGATGTCGATACCAATTTTCGATAAGCTAGTGTGAAAGGTTCTCTATACATCTACATGATTCCTTGAGTTCTGAAAATTTCTGTTAAGATCTCTCAAATCTGCATAGTTCTCTAAAGACCTTCGGACGTCCCTGAAGTTTTATTTCTGTTCTCTGGTAAAATATCTTTGAATATCATCAACAAACTTTCCTGAAGATCTGCAAATTTCTCGGTAGTTCTGCAGATTTCTTAGAAGTCCTGTGTGTTCTTTAGAGGATCTGCAAATTTCTCTAAAAATTTACAGAGTTCCTGAATCCATGCAGATTTAAGATCCTTAAATATCAACAATTATCTCTGATGTTCACTAAACGTCTAATAATCTACGAACTTCTCGAAAGTTATATAATTTTCTATGTAGATTGAAATTTTTGAGCTTCCCGGAAATTTAAGAAAGTTCTCTGAAGATCTACTAATTTTTCTGAAGTCGTGCAAATATCTATAAAGATCAGCGAACTTCCCAGACGTTCTGTAAATTTCACTTAAAATACTTAAAATCCAAGAATCTCAATAAAGTTCTGCAGATTTATCTGAAATTCTTTTAAATTTCTTAAAGCTGTACAAATTATCTGAAAATATTTGAATTTCTCTGAAGTTGTGTAAATACTTCTAAAGATCGGCGAACTTTCCAGAAGTTCTGTGAGTTTTTCTGAAGTTTTGCATTTTTTTTTTCTAAAATGAAGTCCTGCAAAATCTTGGACTTTCGTACTTCGCTGAGATTTGTTTTTTGGAATTGAAGTATAAATCACTGAATGCATCAGAAGATCTGCAAAATTCCTTGCAGTTCTACAGATTTCTTTAATATCTACTCTCCTGAAGTTCTGCAAATATCTTTAAAGTTCTGTAAAGTTGTCTGAAGCTCTGTAGTTTTATTCTCAAGATCTACGAATTACCTTGAGGCTCAAAGCATTTCTCAGTAGATCTGCAAACTTGTCTGAAGTTTTGTCAATTCCTCTGTAGGCTCTCGGGCTACCCTGAACATCTGAAAATGTCACTGCAGATCTTCTAAATTACCCAAAGTTCTTAAAAATTATCTGAAAATAGTTGAGCTTCCTTGAAGTTTTAAATGTTTCTCTCAAGATCTAAAAATTTCCCTGAAATCGTATAAATATTTTCTTTAACCGCTGAAGTTCTGCAAATTTCACTGAAGATACATTAAAATGTCTGACATTCTAAAAATGCCTAAAAATTTATCCGAGGATCTATGACCATTCTTGTGATTTTTCCAAAGTTCTGTAGCTTTGATCTGAAAATCTAGGAACTTTTCTGATGTGCAATAATTTTTCAGTAGATCTCCAAACTTCTGTGAAATTCTTTACATTTCACTGTAGATTCTTGGACTTTTCTGAAGGTCTGCGAAGTTCCCTGAACATTTACCAAAATTTCCCTTTCCCAAAATGGATCTGAAAATCTTTAAGCTTGCTTGAAGTTTAGAAAATTTCTTTGAACATATTTCTGAAGATCTACTTTCTCTCTTGTGAAATTTTCTGAATTTCTGAAAATTTCTTTTAATTTCTGTAAAATTTTCTGAAGTTTTGTAGTTCTGTTCTCAAGATCTACGAATTACCCTTAAGCTCAAAAAATGTCTCAGTAGATCTCTTAACCTCTCTGAAGCTCTAACAAACACGTACATACTTCGTATGATATAAACACTGTTTTGTTGACGGCCAATCACACTGGAAAGTAGAAATCAGTCAAATCATACATAATGAATAATGAAATCGGTTTACCTTACTGCTGGATGTCATCAAAACACAAATCAAATCCTTGAAATTTTAGAAGAAAAAAATCAATATTTTCATTTCACTTGCGGCTATTTTGCTGAGTGAGTCGAATGAAAACTAACCACAAATCTATTACGTTCGACAAATCAAACGTCAAATCTAATCATCATGTCGAAAAAGTGTGAACGCATTCAAACATTGCATCCGACAAAATTATCGAGCAGTCTGCTCGAACTAGACCAACAAATCAGATAGTCTAAATGTACCTTAAAAAGTTCTCTCTAAAAAAAATTCGAAATTATAATCTAAGTGCACTGTTCTTTTCAGAGCACAGATGTCAAAACAGACCATTAAATTTTGTTAAAACAGCAAGCCTAGAAGAACTGCGTTGAAGATTTATTTCTCCATGGGTTCTTATGGATAAGATAACATAGTTCTTGATAGAGCTGAAATTAGGGCGAAACAGCTTTTGTAAACAATGACTTCTCTCGATGATTTCTCGAAACTCAAGGCACGCCCACGCCAACCAACATAACCAACTGGAAGGGGAAGTCTTCCCCTACCCGATGGTGACGTTGATTTGAGTGGGCGAGCTTTGGCTTTCTAGAAGTCATCGAGAGAAGTCATTGTTTACAAAAGCTGTTACGCCCTAATTCCAGCTCTATCTAGAGTTTAGGTATTTTCTGTACCAAAGTAAGACGCTTTTCGTGTACATTGTAAAGTGATGGTACCTGACAATCGATTTCAATGTTTAACTAATTTTCGCCATAAACATTAATGGGACAGTTATGCCGCACAGAGGGTAGTGCATCGCCAAAACAATTGTTGTCTAATATTCACCGCTTCATGCACGCTAAAACTGCCATCGGAACGCTTGGTGCTAGCAAACGTAGCTATTCGCAGTGGTTCCACGTCACTAATGAATCACCCAACCACTAATCCATCCTCGAAGTTGTGCTAACACCTCTCATCACCCCCCTCTCACCGACACTTTCGATGACCCCCCCCCCCCCCTTGTTGCGTCCCAGCAGTTTGTAACACAACCCTCCTCCCTCTCTTCCAGATGCCCGACGACGCCAGTAGCACTGTCGTCACTCCGGACGATTCGCCCCAGAATGGCACTTGCTCGAGATAAACATTTGCGAGAGCAAGTTTGATTGGCAATCTAATCTATTGATAAAAATACGACAGAGGGACAGTCTATTCCACTTATATTTTTTTTTGTTCTCAAACATCACTAAGAATTTATGCAACTCAATAAAATTGTGCTAACCTGATATACGTGTAATATGGATGATATGTGTTTAGTGTAAATCCACAATAACTATGTTGTTGAAAAACTTCTCTTCGACGGAGGGCAGGGCACAAATTTCAATATTTAAGGTAATGGTAGTGCAAAGGTTTTTAATAAGTGTTCAAATTTTATTTCGTTCATCATATCGGTTTAGTGGTAAAGTTTAATTAATAAAGTATATGTCACATCAGTAAACCAAAAACGTTCTTTGATAATGATCACACCTTCATGAGCACCACCAAAGGGTAAAGGGTCAACGTCACTCTCCTTAAACCCCCCCTCCCCCCTCCCCCTCAAGTGCTAATCGACCCTAATTGTAGACTAACATTTTTCGAATGAATTCGCAGGTCGCCGGTTCGTTGGATTCCAAATTCGTCACCAAAAAGCTCAATGAGATGGCCCTTTAAGCAACAATAACAGCATCGATCGCATCGGCAGCAATGGATTCCTCTCCTTTCTCCCTCTCATCACGCCGTGTGTCCCATGTTATTTTATTTTTTGTTCTGCTGCGACTTAGTCGAAAGCTTTCAAAACTAGTGTTGGCCATGACCACCTTAAGCGAAATGTTTTTTTTTTAGTTTCCTAGTGTTTGTATAAGTGATAATGTTTGTTACGAAGTACTTCATCGCATTTTGATTTAAAAAATCTACCTGATTCATTTCCATTTTTATTCGCATTTAAAATTTGTTTATTTTTGTTACTGTAAGCACCATTTCAAGTCCTTTCACCACCAAATATTTGTATCGAAATTAGTCAAGAGACTCTTCAAGAGACTTAATTCTTCCCAAAATCTTCAATAATTATTAAAAACAAAAACAAAAAAAAATCAATCGGAGATCCCCGAGGGAAGGAAGATCGCAACAAATTTACAAATCAGCGGTGTGAAATTTTGTGTATATTTACAAGGTTCCATTTTTACCTAGTGATTTACTTAAGAAAGAATAATAAAAAATAAACGAAAAGACACGCACGTATAAATAAATTAGTAAACCTAACAAAAAAAAAATAGCTGTTTAAATAACAATGATATAAAGTAAAACAAAAACAAAACAGGACGAACAAAGTTGTATAAGTAAAAAAAAATAATAATATAAAGAGAGACCATAACTAGGACGTAAGTACTCTTCTACACGTAGTGAGCGTAAACCGTAATATTCCTAGATAAAGTGAACCGATACGAAAGCAAAACAAAACTAAAATAATTTGAATAAACAATAGCGAGGAGATGAAATCTCGACGAAACGAGAACAGAAAACAAAACAAAAAATATCTTTGCATGGTTTTTTGAAGCACCTCCCCCAAGATAACCGGAATGGAAAGAAAGGCCTTGTGTTCTAACTCTATTTTTTAAACTAAACCACGTTAATGCATTAGACTTTTTACTTTCAGAAAGCGCATCTTGGAACGATCACAGATTTGATTGAGCCTGTGTTAGACTGAGCTCGATGGTCTGTGAGCAAATAAGCGACACCTTCTCCGGACCCATCGAATAGTTTTAAGTTAAGAATCCGAACCCCACGCTACACTGTCGCTCTTCGCAAGTCGGTCCCGTTTGCGTTTTTGTCACAACTGTGTTTTTTTAACTTTCATAAATAAACAACTTTGTTCTGTCAGACAGGTTGTTCCATCACCTTAGAAACAATGGTACAAAGCAAACTTAAAATGTATTTTTTCTCGGCTTGCTGTTTTGTGCTATGGGACGGACTTGCCTAGAGTGGCAGTACAATGACTGCAATAAATGTGAACTTTCAAAACAGTAAACATCGTTTTCATTACTTACTGTCTAACCAACGAATCCATTCTCAAGAAACGATCACTCCTAATTTATTTTATACAATAGGACGGTGTCCATCTAACCGGGAAATCCGGGGAAAAAAACGGGAAAACCCAAATTGCACCGGGAAAGATCGTATATACCAGAGGCGTCGCGTGCCTCATTTGTTTACCTGTGCACCAAGCTTTGTTCATTATAGTTTACCACCACATAGGGGAATTTACGTATTCTCGTCAATCTAAGCAGTGTACTTCTATTAGCATTTTCTCAGCGTCACGCACATATATGACGTGTCTGTTGGTTTACATTCATCTGCTGCTTGCTTCTCTATCCATTCTAATCGACAGAATTCTTCAAAACTGTATGAAAGCGTTTTTACAACGCTCCAAACTTCTCAGGTGAGTGTGACTATTGTCGGCAGCCTCTTTTTCTTCGGCAACCTTCCCATTAGAACTGCGTGTTAACCAGTTGTTCTATTATCGGCAACTTGAAATCAACCCCATTTTAGAGTACGTATGCTTCATTTGAATAAAAATCTGGCATAACAGGACTGCTCAAACGTACACATACAATCAGATTGAAACTGAAAGACTAAAGAATCGTTTGGATGCATTCAGGGAAGTGTGTTGATGGGAAAACATAGTCACCCCTATTCTGCGAGTCACGTGACTCTCTCTCACCGGTGAGGTGACTCTCCATTTGATTTGCATGGAGAGTCACCTCACACGAGGTGACAATTGTCACCTCACCGGTGAGAGAGAGTCACGTGACTCGCAGAATAAGGGGGAGTGAAATTAACGTTTAAATTTTGGTTGCCGAAAACAGTCAATGGGTGCCGAAGCCGACATTGACCCTATTAGTTTTTGCTTTATTTTTCAATGCTCCATGAATTCGAGGGACATATTCTCCATTACTATATTAATCACTACCTAACGTAACATTTGAAGGGCCTATCATCTTGTATAAACAAAACTTGTAAGGCCCTTTTCGCGCTAACCGAAGTAGGAGGAACTAGGTTCTGCAGCGTGACGTCACAAATGAACTCAGTGTTAATAGGCTGAACCTTTTTGACAGTTCAGTGGTACTGTTTACAGGCACTTAGTCGTTTTTTCGAAAAAACAAATTCTAAAATTTCCGAATTTTAACTTGAAAATTGTCGAGGAACAGCGCGGTGAAAGGATGTTGCTCGTGGACAATGCAGAAGTGTGGTTTACATCTCACTGCAGTCTGAAAAATTATCGAGAAAATCCACCCAAGAAAAAATCGACTAAGTCCACGTAAACAGTACCACTAAATTGTCATCAGATTGAGGTTAACCCCGACGGTGCAAAACCTAATTGCAAAAATTAACTAATTCAAGCTGAACATTGCATTAGGTCCTAAGTAATATAAGTGTCAAAATCTAGAGAAAATTCATAGTCCCCTGGGTAGCAAACTTGAATTAATCAACTCTTTATTCATCAGAACAACACTATCAGAATGAACTAGGATTGGGCGATCTTGGATCGATCTTTGGAAGATCGATCTTTTTCATCCCGATTTCCGATTTTTCGGATCGATTCTTTGTCCACGAAAAGATCGCAAAAAAAAATCGATCTCTTCTTTCGATCTTTTCGATCTTCAAAAAAAAAGGTGTTAAATTTTTTAAAGTGTATTTACATAGAAAAAAAAAAACGATTTACTCTCACTACAGACTGCGTAGTAAATTTAACGATCATAACGTCAACATCAGCATCGCTCCCTACAATGCGTCACTATTTGCTCCGATATTTACGAATACAGCAACATTTGAAGGTTTGTGCTACCTCCTTCCTGTGCTTATTACTGCTTACCGTCGCGAAAACATTTAATTGAATATTATAAAGGAAACAATTTCTCGGGGTACCAACGTAAACAAGCGTATTGAAATAAAAATTCGAAGATCGATCTACCAAAGATCAATTCTTTGGTATCGATTTAATCAGTAGATCGGTTCTAGAGCCAAAATTAAGATCGATCCGTCAAGATCGATCTTTCTCTGAAGATCGCCCAATCCTAGAATGAACCAGAGGAAACTCATAAGTTTTGATAGGCGCACCGGCGCAACTATCGGTAGTTGAGGAGAGATTCACAACTAACAAGAGAGTGAGAGTGGGCTTTTGCGCTCTCTTTCTCCATTACTCTCTTTGTCTGCAATCAAGTATCCAAGTGCACAACGAGAAATGCACGCTTTGGGCACCCATACATCGTAAATGTTCTTCTAATTTAAACTCACACATTCAAACTGGACTGCAAGTATGATAACGTCCAAAGCGTACCAGACTGCTGTTTCCGTGTTGCTCCCGTTTGACGCGTGACTGCTGAAAGCTTCAATTACAATTAGTGGTGCAAACCGCCATGTATTGTGGAAAATTTGTGGTATGTTTCAAAAGGTGATAGATGATGATGATGATGATGGTCCCACCTCTTACCCCTACAAAGGTTTGAGCTGGACGATTTATCTTTAAGATAATTGAATATGACATTTTAACCAGGTTGGCAAACAAAATCGAACTGGTTTCAGTTACAGATATAAATTCCCTCTAGAGTTTACAGTTGCTTCACAGCGATATAAATGTGGAAAAGCTCAGGCATCCACCTCTTAGTTCGCCTTTTTGTCCACCTAAAATATTCATAAGTATTATAAGCAATCAAGAGTTAATGAACAATCAACAAAGCATCCTATTACACTAGTAACCCCGCAATCTGATGCTATCATAATTTTCAGCAATGTCAGGAAAGCTCACGAACCCCTAACATTTGCCAGAAAACTTACTACTTTTTCAAATGTTAAATTCAGTCCTCTATATCCGTAAAACGCGCGCGAGGCTCAAACCTTTGTAGACTACTTATTTGTAAATCTACTACTATTAAATCAAATATTAAAAATCCATCATCACCATCGTGGCGAACAGAAATAGTTTTTACAGTGCTACAATAATTATTAAAAAGTCATTATGACAGCTATCCATATAAAAAAATCCGTAAGAGATAACTTCGTCAAGATACATAATTTGTCAATTCATAAAAAAATCACTGGATAACTGTTCAAAATACAGTTTTAACGTGTGAAATGCAGTGTCTTTTAAATTCTGTAAGTGTTGCTAAACGTTTGATATGTCTACCCTAATAAAAAATAACCATAAACGAACGATAACCCAAATCATCGAACCATTCCACAAATGGTTTGGATGATACCCAGAACACGTCGTTAAGCAAATTAACCATACAATTTTTATTAGGGTAGGCATCGAATTGAAAACATTTATTCCTTTATAATATAATGAATTTTGTGAAGCACAAGTCAAGAAATGTGGTGTTCTTATTTCAACCACGTTTCTAGTATTATATCTATGAAAGTCACTTCCTCTTTCAATTCGATCACACAAAAATCGAGGCAGCAAACCGTTAACTACTTTAAAAATGAACACCATAGTCAAATATACAATTCTTTGCTTCACCGACAATGATTGTAAGGCGTCTAACATCAAAGTTGAGGAAGTGAATCTATTACATCTCAAAATCAAACGCATTATTTTATTCTGCAAGCGCTGTAATCTCGATATTTGTGTTGCATTGGCCAGAAATAAAATGGAAGGGCAAAAGTCAAGATGAGGAGAGATGATTGATTTGTATAGCTGTATTTTACTGGCAATAGTTAAATCGTTTTTCAGTCGACATAGAATTCCATACTACTTGGCAATTTTCTTGATGACATTGTCAATGTCTTGAACTTAAGTTGGTCTCCCGTATGCGATCAATAGCCTCATAATCAATTACAACAGAGACGTTCTCATTTACTCGATTCCGCGAAATTACCATAAATTTAGTTTTACTTGTATTCAATTTTAACTGCTTATACTTCAACCATCTACTTAGAGAACGCAAATCTTCATTCAAGTGTAAAACGGTATCATCTAAATCCTTAGCTGCAATGAATAACACAGTATCATCTGCAAAAAGATTAATGCCGCAAAATCGTAAAACACGTCGCAGGTCATTAATATACATAATAAATAACAGGAGCCCTAATACACTTCCCTGGGTATTCCCCACGGGACTGGAAACAGAATCATTAAAAACAGTCCGTTGAGTTCTGTCAGACAAATAGCTTTCAAACCATTTATATGCAGTACTCGTAATTCCAAAGCGCTTGATTGATCTTAACAATAAGGGCCTAGAAATTGTTTCAAAAGCGCGTTTAAGATCCAAAAAAACAGCAACAATCGTATCTTTACACTCCAAGTTATTTTTCCACTTCGTTAATACCAAATTCAACGCGGTTTCACAAGAATGACCTTCCCGATATCCCGATTGTTCTGGTATCAACAAACTATTACTATTTAAATACTCCAACAGCTGGCCTTTAACAAC